AGAATCATAGAATCATCAGATCATTGATAAAGATATTGAACAAGACCGCTCCCAAAACTGAGCCCTGGGGAACACCGCTCATGACCGGCTGCCAACTGGATTGAACTCCATTCACCACAACTCTCTGGGCCCGACCATCCAGCCAGTTTTATTTACTTTATATTTATATTATATTTACTTTATATTTATATTTATTTATATTACTTGAAAGTATAAATTATAGGGGTAAAAACTAACCATTTGGTTCAGACCTCTGCTACCTCTGCTATCCTCTGGTAACCAGAGGATGTAATCTGTTTCATAATACATGTGAAGTAAAAACAATATTAAAATGACAAACAGATATTTTTGAATGGATTTGCAAGTTTGGAAATTTTTTTTAGAATTCATAAAGTTTTAATTTAGCAGGAAACTTGAAAATTGTTCTGCTCTATTTCAGTTCAGAGTCAAATAAAATATAAAACATCAATGTATTTTGGGAGAATCAAAAGTTGAAGATTCTACCAGTTCTACTTATGAGGAAATTAGAATTTGTATATGCAACCTAACTAGTTCTCTACATACGGGCTGTTTTAATTTATACATACCATATGAGTTATTGAGATTTGCTCAGTTTTTCTCTCCTGTGCTTTTTCTTAGACCATTTAATAAAAACAGCCCTTCTTTTTAACTTTTTCCCATGTGGCCTTTTTTCATATATATCCCTTCACTTAGTCAGACATTTTCCTCAAATTTTCCTTTACAACAGTGTGAACCTGTTTAGGATTAGATTATGTTGGTTTTGTCTAGTTCAGGCAGTCTGAATTAATTTTGCTTCTCTTTAGGAATGCCATAGTCTTCTAAGAGATCATTTACTTCTACCAAATAAAAAGGATCTGTTTTGGACTTTTACTGATAGCTATCCTATAACTAAGTCATGAGAAAAGATGGGATTTAGGCTTGTCTCTGCTTCTGTGAACCATTTCACCAAAGTAACTAGCTTAGGCCCCCTTTTGTGATTATCTTATATCACCAAATGTTGGATGATGGAGGCTGGTGGATGCTCCGTGGATTACTGGAATATATGACAGTGCAACGTGCTTCAAGGCAAGGACACCACTAACTTATTTCCCTCATTGTTCAGAAAGGGTGTGTAGTGTCTGTTGGATCACATTCCCTCTCCTTCCTGACACATTTACCTGGTGTTTCTTCCAATGAAAACCGGGTAGTGTGGTGGGGGACACAATGGTACTTGGTCTGACTTGGAGTGGTTGAACTTATAAAGTGTTCTCTCAGCCCATAGTTCAGATACAGCTTTCCAGATTTGCTAAGACACTCTTGTTGTGCTTGTATCTCACTAGGGTCGCAAATCTAATAGAAATAAACAATATCATAATAATATAATAACAGTGATAATAAGTCTCTGGGGCTTCTTTTAGTTTCAGTGCATTTAGTTCTTATTGGAAAAGAATCTGGAAAACTGTTGAAGTTATTCAGTTACAAGCAAGTACTGACTGCCAGCTTCTGAGCTGGACAGGGACTCAGGCCACCAACCTGTGGTACTGCTAGTGCCCTCAGAAGTTATTGGCTGTTCAAGTTTTAGGAGGCCATTGTACATTTTCTTTTACTCTAAGCCGAGATCCTTACAGCAGGTAGCTTGGAAAGGGTGCGCATGGAGTATACTCTGCAAAGGTGAGTCACAGCACTGCTGGGTTACAGAAGTCACCTGGCACCAACCCATTCTGCAGACAAACTTTGAGGCAATCATTGTCTTTGATTCAGTTTCATGCTGGTGTCTTCAGCTTACATGGAAGTACTTCAGTTCCTGTTCTATATATTTTCCAGACACCAACACAGGAAACAGGTTAAGAGAGAGATAAAGTAGCCATAAATCTTTTGAAAGTAGGAAGTATACAACTACATCCATACATAAACTGCCACAAAGTCAGTGAGACTACAGTAATAGTGGTACTAACTTTTTCTCTTTGTTCTGTTGGCTCCATTTTCATTGGCGTCCAATCTCCACTCTGGAAAATAAAGTTATATTTTCTTTGGTAATGAATACAAAACCTTTTACGCAGGTTTATTGTTATGCAGGATTGGTTATGCCATCTTCTTCCTTAGTGGCATATGTGCTTACCAGTATCGTTCAGTTTTGTTATTAGTCTTATGCCGTGCAGTGTAATTTCTACTTTTGCTTCTAGACCTCATTTCTGACTACAGAATCTCTTGGGCCATTGCAGTTTTGTACATTCAATACTAATTGGAAGAAATTCAGAGGAAACCCTGTGAGTTCATCCTCCCATTCTTTTCTTATCAGTATCTACTACATCTGTTCTTTCACATTTTGCGATGGATTTTCCATTATACTATTTGTTGCTTATCAGAAATCTGAAGTGGAGCAACAAATAATTTCTTTAACAGCAGCAGCTAAGATCATCCTGAGGCAGGTTTCAACCATTTTTCATATTTCCTTGCCTGAGGAGGGAATGTAAAACACTATTAGAGTTTTGACTTCTAGAAGGAGAATATCATTAAAAAAAACTATTGCTTACCATCTGCAAACCTGAGCTGCTTTTAGAAGGGGAGTTTCCACAAGCTTACTTTCTAAGACACGGTTTCTGGCATTTATTAGGCAGTCATTAGCAATAATCAAATCCAAGCAAATGATTAGTTCATGTGCTAACTTGGCTATTAAGACTTCTTTCTCAAATTCCAGCTTTTCAGTTCTTGGATGAATGCACCTTTCCCAGTCACTGTCTCCATTTTTGCCAAATTCGGTGATGGAGTATTGGATTCCCTATTCTCTAGCCTTTTAGCATGTCTAGTTTAATAATTCCCATGAATTTCACAGAAGTTATTCCACGTTCAATAGCCCAACATTCACTATCAGTTTCCTAGGGGGTCTTCTTGGGGGTCAAGTCTATTGGCGGCTTCCTCAGACCTTTAAAATTATTTTCTTGCTTTCTGTCATTGGAGAAAGACTCTCAATAGGCATTTGAAATTACGTGCCTTGGCCAGCCCACAACAATCCTTTTCCTAGCCAGTTTTTTTTCCTGCATGTCAGTATTTAATTGTGCTGCATGCCTTTATTGCTACAGTATTATTATTTTCCTTCCTCTGATGAAAGAAAGCTATCACTTTTTTAATCATTCATAATGTCATG